ACGTCGAAACAGCGATCGAATTGCAGCGGCACGGTTGATAATATATAGGTGGGAAAGAGATCGGTGAGCACCAGGGGTTGCAGTAATATAAACAAAATCACGCGTACAATTGGCCGTTCGGGGAAATCAGGGGGCCGCTCGAAAGGCTCGTGCTCCGACGTAGAACCGCGCGAAAACTATTAAGCACCGTCTCGTCCCGACGCGTCTCGACGCCAAGAATAAACCTACGTGCTTTTCCCCACCACCGGGGAAACCACCTTCCACGTCTTTTACATCTCCGTCTCTCTTCGAGAAGCAACTTTTCAGTCACCAGCCTCGTTAAAAGAGACTTCTAATTTATATCAATTTCGTACGAATCCCGTTGTTCGTGTTTTCATTCTTACTTCCGTGTAACTCGCTTAATTAGCAAACTACAGAATTAATTTGTATTCTTCACGCCCAGTAATATTTCGTGCAATACGGAAATAACTTTTCAATTATCCTTGAGACAAATTATTAACCGTGAACCGTTAGATTTTGACCAACGTGGCTTGATACCTTTTTACTGGAAATTTCATGTCCTTTCGATTTATGATGAAAAAAGCATATGACCCAATTGAAAAAGAAAATAAAGATGACCTTGAAAAATTTCGAAACCTCTTAACACACACACAAAAAATGAAAAATTTTTGTTTTAAACAATCTTTCATTAGACATAGACACATAATTTAAAAGTTGTTCGCGTGAATCACCACTGTATACAAATGTTCGAATACTTTCACGAGCGGGCGGATATAATAATTGTAATAGCTTAATTTCACGTTTCTCGTTCGCTTCTATTTTAATCCTACACCTGTACGATGAAATTTTATCGCCGGGGAACAGCGCTCGGGGCGTAGTGCTTTTCTATAAATTCGCGGCGAAGCTGCTCGAGAGGAAGGAGTTTAACGACCGTTCCGTTTCTCGTATATCTCTCCCGGAAACGTGGGATCGGAAGGGCACGGAGGCGAGAAGAAGAGCAGAGCTGAACGCGAGAAGCCTGAAAGATTTCGAATGAAAGGGAAAAAACGACGAGAAAATCTCTAGAAAGTCGCGCGATATCTTAATCGAATCTCTCTCTCCTAACTCGCGTTTAATCTTTCCGGTGTTGTTGAGAAATTCAAATCGAATCACGACGAGGTTGAGAACAAGAATGAATCGGCTGGTGAACAAGGAAACGAAAGAAAATGGACAATCGTAATAAACGCCGGCGGTGCGAGAAAACATTGCTCCAAAAGTTATTTTCTGTCTGGTAACGCTTGATTCAAGGGGCGTGCTCTTAATTTTAGATCTCCACGTTGCCGTAAGACTCGATCCATCCCTTTATTCCCTTGCCCCACTTGGTCGTACGTGGGCGAGATCGATAGAGCAAATGCAATAAAACTCATCGTTCCCCGAGCGAAGAGTTCCTTTCACGAAATCGTCTGATCCTTGCGAATGTTTCAATCTTGATGGGAAAGTTGCTAGAATTTTTGGAAGAGAAGAAAAATCCCACGTAAAAGGACAGTGGTTCCACTGAACTTTGAAAGTAAATTTATCGAATTCGTTTTGTCTCGATTTCTCGAAGGAGAAATATTTCGAAAAATTGCGAAACGATAGATATAAATATTCCATGAATTATCGCGTAAGCCAGAAGAATCAGAAGCGTCCCGGAAGTCGCAAACGCGTGCAAAAGTATTTCAGAGGAAGAACTTTCCGCGTCGGCTCATAGATCACGTAGCTCATCGAGTCGTTAAAGTCGATCGTTTGTAAGGCGAGAACAGCGTTCTTAGAATCCTATTTTCTATCGCGTGGGGTTCGTGTAACGTCTTCCTATTTTTTTCTCCCTCAAACTCCATCCCAACGTTACACTTTCCATTAAAATGCGTGAATAAATACCAAGCGATAACAGTCTTTCCTTCTTTGCTCTCTTAATCCTGTTTGCGAGCCAAGAAAATTTTTCATGGCTCGCTGCCTCGGTGCCTTCAGCCAAGAAAAGGAGAATAGAAGGAGAAAGGATTTGAAAATATCCTTGAGAGAAAAGAACCTTTCATCCTCTTAAGGTTCTCCTCTAAGATTCTGTAATTGTGTGAAGTTTCGAGAAATGGTGAAATTTGTAACACTGTGACAGATTATTCGTTAGTGTTACTTTACCGATGAAACTTTATGGAGGATTGAAGACGAAATAAATATTTCGAGAGAAAACATATTTTAACTTTTCAAGAAGAAGAAATTCGCTCTGCTCCGAGAAGCCAGGCGAAGGGAATAATTTTGATAGAGCTATTTTCAGAAAAACACACAGAGATTAATGCATCATGCTTCTATCTCCGGCCGGATGGCAGGTGAAAGA